GGGGGGAGGAGGATTTGACTGTACCTTGTAATTTTATAAACAAAACGCTTGCCCAGCGAAGCACCTAGAACAGTTATCATAAAAAAGAAAAAATATATCCACTATATCGTCTTTGCGGCAATTGAACATACATTAAGTTGTTTACCATTCCGCGAGCAAAGTGTTATTTGTGTACACATCTTTTACCCAGGGTTTTTCACAGGCAGTTGGCTACTTTTAAATTCTTAAAGTATAGGCATGATATTATTGTCTGTCCTCTACTGGCTTTTCGACTTCCAGTGTCGGCTTTGGCTTTTCCTTTCAATCTTATTTTCATTCTACTTATCCCATGAACTTTAGTGGAATTTGTAAGCATATATATATATACGTTTCATAAGAATAAATTGAGTTTAATTAAAACATTAAATTTAAATACATATTTAATTAAATATTCTTTGCGCCGTTGCTGCAAGGAATGAAATTTAAATTTCAAACAAATTTAAATTCTTAACAAATACGTATAAAAGTAAAAAAGTAAAAAAAGCAATTTAAATTCTAAAAAAAGGAAAAAAGCCAAAAGATTTAAAATAATTTAAAAATATGCAAACATGTAAAGATTTAATTCTCGAACCAATCTACAATATCATTTAATTCAGAAGCATAAGCAAATCAAGTGCAAAATCTATCCATGAAAATAAATATATTAATTTAATAAATTAAAATTAAATTAAACAATTTTTTTTTTAAAAAATGCATAAGTGAATGATCGTAGAGTGGCAGGAGACAGACTTATCAAGGGGAAGAAGTTGCCTCCAAACCTAATTCTCCAATCATTCAATTCGTGTTTCGTCATTCATGCAGGCAAGGGTTAAGTCAAAAATTATTTTGGCTTTTTTCCTTTTTTTAGAATTTAAATTTGCTTTTTTACTTTTATACGTATTTGTTAAGAATTTAAATTTGTTTAAATATATATATATATGTGATGTATCAGCTTTTGTCCAGAATAAATAGATCGTTGAAGAAATATAGATGTAGTCGTAGCTTAAATTATCAGACGATAAATTTAAAAAACAGGATCCATTTATTATTATTAAGGAGAAATTGCAGTTACGAAATCAGATATCCGGAGTAAATAAAAAGAATAACTAATAACTTTTTGTATGAAGTTTACTGCATCGTTGCATTAAAGAAAAAGCCCCGATATTCTTCTGCGAGTCCTTTTATAGCCTCTGGAAAGGCGGAGCTTCCAAGAAATGACGTCAGCCTCGTCAGCCAATCCAGTTCGCTTTAAATATTTCCAGAACATTCTATAACTGTACGTGTAGAAAGGCGGGAAAAACCACTTGACTACGGGGCTGTGGATTTCATTCCACGTACTTTCCAAATAAGAGAACGTCGCCATTAAAAATGAAAAGAACATACAGTTAGAATTTTAATTGTATTCTTGACTATGGAATTTTATTATTACAAATATATATATACTTGTCGAAAAATTTTACGTTGCTTAATAATGAGAGAATGAATAGGAAATAAATCATTAAAAATTTAATTTGAGTATAATATACAGTAAATTTAAGGAAACGGCTTTCGAACACATTCTTTCTTTATAGATTAAACGCTTGAAGTTGCTTATTGATCAACTTAATACATGAGAGAAAATAAATTAAAATTTATTTTCACACTCAGTTTTATTTCCCAATATTTAAACATACGTTTTACTTCGTCAACGAAAGTAAAGAGAAGGTTTTTGCAATTTATTCCATACTTCTCTTCTGTATTTTCTCCCTCCTTTCTGCTTGCCTTCGTGGTGTAACGGTAGCACACTCGGAGTGTATTCGAGAGGTCCAGGTTCGAGTCCTGGCCAGGGTATTGTTCATTTTTCAAGTCTCCAGAATCAAAATAACCTAATGGCTCTACAGTGGTGCCCAAACTAAAAGGTGGTGGATAATGATTCTTTACCACCAGGATTTGACGTTTGTGTTCCGTAATACCCAGTCTCCTTTTAAAAGGGGGAGTATATAAGGTATTTTCTCCATCCTTTCTGCATGCCTCCGTGGTGTAACAGTAGCACACTCGGTGCGTATTCGATAGATCTAGGTTCGAGTCCCGGAGAGGGCAATGCTCATTTTTCACGTTCTTCTTCAAAATAATCTACTCAGTCTACATACTCATAGGCATTATGCTGAACACTTTGCTGAAATGTCCGTGTCTTTTATAAAAATCCATTGCATAGGCATCAAAATTTATACGAAATCGTGTAACAACAGGAATGCAGCAAACATGTCGAACATTATTGAAAACTTAATTAAGTCTACAGAACAGACCGAATATACTGAGAATATAGTATTTGTGCTGAAAACGTAGCCATTCATTTTATAGGAATACAGGCCATAAACTCAGGATATGTAGCAATGTATTTTTAATTTATAAAAAATATGTACGCATTTTGTTCATCAACGACATATCTTTGGAAATTTATTTACAACAGTTTTATTAACGCAAAGTTACAGAAGAGCTGTCAATTATTTCTAGGTGACTTAAGTCAGACTCGGTGACTGTGAGATTAGTGCTTTAAATTTCGGATATGAAGATACCAAACTGAGTCTTGAAACTGGCAAACGATGCTATAAAAATAAAGCAACATATCCTGCGACAGAGAGGCAACTTGTTCCTTGTGCGGATAAATTTTTGAGCAAAAAATATAATCAAATCGATAAGAAGTGAACTCAGAGATGCACTATAAAAAACAGTAGCAGTAAATCGTGATAATAAAAATATTATGATTATGCTTTTTTACGCAATAAATATCAAAGATGGAATAAAAGTTTTTATAAACATTGTCAAAGAAAATTTTATGTCTTTTAAATTTATAAATCAAAGCTCCCTACGGCTGCTGCAGTCTTTTAGACCTTTAATGAAAATACAGTGCATGAATGTTAAAAAAATCATACATTAGACCTTAGAATATTATAAAAGTGTAATTAATAATTACAAAATTATTGATCAGAAATTTGAGTCTTCGATCACAACGAAATATGTATGCCGATTGTGATATTCTTAATAAATCTTGAATATGAGTATCAGTGAACAAAGAATGGCTGATTTGTCTTTTTTTCATTTAAATGATCAAGAGCTAATTAGTTTTAGCATGTGGTCTCAAAACAACAGCTGACATATTCGCAATATGTTTTAACAAGTTACAGCCGAAAACATCGCGGCAAAAACGTCGCGGAGAAAACAACGCAAGGCAAAAACGTCGTGCTACAAAACATTGTGAGAGAAAGAGAAAACATCGCAGTTCTAAAACATCGTCGTCGAAAATAAAGCAGTTCAAAAACTTCGCAGTTTAAAAACATCGTCGTCGAAAATATCGTGGTAAAAAATAAAGTGTCTACAAATCATCGCAGACAGCTTTTTCAGGTTTTAATTGTAAATGATATTCCCAAATAATTTACGCAAATTGAGAAGGATATTTCAATTTACTTTTTTTAACTATAAATTTTGCTGAGAAATAAACTAAGCAAGAAATTAAGTACGTAAGCCTAATGAATTAAAAGCGACTAGACAGAAAATGACATTAAGGGGTCACACGACCCTTGAATGAGTCGAAAGATGAATTTTTTTACCTTTTTTCAATCTTGTGCAACTTTTTTAATTCTTATCAAAAATACTCAATATTTTGTTCATTATTAATTTAATGTCTATTCTTTAATTAAATGTACTTGAAATTTGAAAATTATAATAAAAATTGTAAAAACAAATGTTAAATTATAAGACATTTTTCACATCTAATTAATCTGTACGCACACTGCGCGCACATGTACAAGAAATGTTTTGTACCAAAATGTTTAATTTTTCTTTTTTTATGCAGAAGAATGTTTGAGAATATAACTGAACTAAAAATATTACACAATTCATGCATTTTTAATTTTTTTATGATATATATATTAAATATAATTTTTTTGCTATATTTTGATTTTTACATACCTTATAAAATTGAAACATTTCATTAAAATACCAAAATTTTAGTTTAATTAATTTAGTGTAACATGATAATACTATGGTACAAATTTCATAAAGATACATTAAAAAGTTTTTGAAATATCATGCGCGACGCATTAAAAAAACACGTTTTGAGATAAAGACCTGTAAAGTTTGCATCGCTATAAAAATGAGTAACATTGTGACTTAATGAGTCTTAACTCATACTATTTGGTACCTAATTTGTATTTTATGCTTTTTGTTTGTGTTTTGAATAAAGTTAATGACAGAATATATATTTATAATAAGGAAACTGCATCTGAAAAACAATTAACAATGCATTGTTTAATGAAAGTGATGACACAGTCAACCGTTATCAAGGATACATTATTGCAGATAAAGATATATTTTTCATATACATGAAAGAGAATGCAATGTGCAAACTGTGTTATAAACCTATAAATATTTCTGAGAATAAAAATATATTAATAATCAGTTTCTTGAACAGATGTTTAAATTTTTGTCGAACACATAACTTAACAAATACTTTGTTCACACACACTAATTACACACAAGATCAACGCACTAACAGTTCATGCTACCGTACAGTTGTCTGACGAGAAGTTGATTATATACAATATTTATACAAATTAAAAAACCTCCAGGTTCATACATTATTCCTTCTTGATCAATTTGCTGATGTTCTAAACTTGTTTTGGATCTTTTCCTTGCTTTTCGTGCTTCTATAGTGTTTTGCATTGCTCTCTTCTTAGCAGTATTTACACGTTTCATATCACTGCGAAGTTGAGATTTTATTGCATTTATACCTGGATGGATACCCATTTGCCTCATGACAGATAGCCTACCCTTTTTGCCCATGTTAAATAAAATTGCTGCTTCATATACAGCAATTTCTGCAATTCGTTTCCCAGATCCAGAAGTTTTCGGACACATCTGCCATATGAGGGAATTAAAAGATTCATTCGGATTCTGAGTGAAGCTACCAAGGCATCGTTTCAAAAGATCTGGACTTGATAAAGCTTTAAAAACAGGTTTTAAACATCCATGACTGAAGATGGCAAAGTCACTTTATGATGAAATTTACCCACTGAGCCATTTGAAACTGCTTGTTGATATTTACACCATGAGTCTGCACCAGCAGGACAAAATGTATGTAACGGTTCAGCATCAGTTGATCTCGTATGAAAATAAACTGCCCAAATACCCTTACGCATTTCATCAACTGACAAAGCATTTGAGCGAATTGCATTTCCATAATACTGAGTCAGCCTATTTATCATGGTGTCTGTCAGTCGTCCTTTGCCTGATAAAGGTTTACCGTCCTCCAGCTTTTTACATCTATAGTCTTGTTTTAGCTTTCTCAGTCGAGTTCCCATTCTTTTTTGTACGTGACCAACACATTCAAGTTTTGAAACAGTTTCATCATCATATGGTTTGCTGTCACGTATAGCAGGGAATGTTCTAGAATCACCATCACCAATATAATTAATATATTTGAGACCTCTTTCAGCTTCTGATCTGTGAAAAATTTTTATCATACCATCGACTTCCATTTTTCCTGAAGAACCGATATGATTTTTCTGACAATTTGGCAAATGTTTCATTTGCCACTCTTCGAAAGCTTTCCCAGATTTTTTTGCTTTCCATAGATCACATCCTTTACAAGTGGACGAGAGAACTTCAACATCTAAAACCTTCCCTGTTTCAGCACCTATTACAGAACATACTCCAATATGTGAAGTATGTCCTCTCGTTTTCCATGTTCCATCACCACTTACGGTGACAGAATTTGATGCAGTTTTGCATGCCTCTTCTTCTGCAGCAATTTTCATACTTTGAATGGCGACAGTTTTTGAAGCTGCATTTATATGTTTGCAGATTTTGTCATAAGCATTCTGTGTGACAGGTTTACCTAGATCCATTACACCACAAAATGTTTCCAGAGGTTCCAGACCTTGACCAATGCATCGCATAGCATAAACAATTCGTCTGTTTAATTCAGGAACATTTTTGTGTTCACCAATCAACTTTGAATTATTGAATTCTGTTTTAAAACTACACTTTTCACATTTCACAGTAATTGTTGAAAATAATCCAAAGGGTTTTCTCTCAGAAATATTGACAGAATTACAGCACAATTTGCACATTACATTCTCTTTCAAAAATGTAAACAATATGTCTTTATCCATAATTATATAGCCATGAAAACGATTCATAATGTCAGTATCACTTTCATTAAATAATGCATTGTTAAGCTTTTTCTCGGATGCACTTTCTACATGTTCAATTTGAGTATTATGGTCATCACCTGATGAAACCAAGCTTTTATCAGAAAGTTCAGATCTGATATTCGTGTAGCGGTTGCCGTGGAAGCGACGTTTTTTAGCTCGCTTCCCAGAAGCTCTTTTATTATTTGCCATCACAAATATAATATATAAATATACTTATTATTGCAGCAAAAAGACTAACGCATCAAAAATTCAATATACACCAAATAAATGCTGCAAACGTCAATACAACTTTGCAGAATCAAACAACGTAGTAATAGCTTACGGAAACACGATGTAAACATTCAGAATAAGTATTAAGTTGAGTAGAATCATTGCTACTGATTGCTGACGAAATAAAAATAAGACTTGTAGGCTAGAATGTAGCAACACTCAGTTATATAACGGCTATGACAGCTGTGAGCAAATGACGTGTCCCTTTAAATGTTTATTTACATACGTGATGAAGGATTCTCGTGTCAGTGACCTTTACGTTTTTAATGATATCTCCTAAACTACACGGAATATTTTAACACGGTTTTTTTTTAAAGTGCGCAGAAATGTTCAAACTAAAACATATATGTTTTTCAAAAAATCGATTTGAAGATTAAAAGTCTGAGACCCTTAAATCATTTTATAAGTTTACGGAATTGGCTGAAAGTAAATCTAATTGCATTTATTTCTAGCTAAGTTTCCTTCGACTTTTAGCAAAATTTATTAATTATAAAAAGTGAAGAAAAAATCCTGCGCACCGGCGACGATGTTTGTACCACGATGTTTTAGAAACTGAGATGTTTTCTTTGCTGTTTGTATTTTTGCCTTGCGTTGTTTTCTCCGCAACGTTTTCGTCCGCGATGTTTTTGCCGCGATGTTATCGGCGGACACAGTGTGGCTGGTTTTTCGAGTAGTATATTATAAAAAATATCTTGATATTAAAACAGTCAATATTATTAAATTTAAATTAATCTTAAGGTGACTATCAGGAACGTTTTTCACTAAAAACCTATGGGTTCACAAGTCCCAGCACGGGAGATGGAGCGAATTAAGATACATTATTTAAATAAAATTAAACCAAAAGACGTCAATGACTGTCAAAGCTTTTGACGGCAATTTATGCTTTGACTATCATTTGTGTGATAAAGTAGCAGTAAATTATCAAAAAGAGCATTTATTGATTTTAAAGCTTTCAAATTGTTAAATAGTTACAGACTGCTTAAATCTGAAAAATAAATTTTAAAGTTTATGCCTCACCAAATGGCAACAGTTCTAGAACTGCTTGTTTGTGAAATCGCGCAGAAAATAAATGAAAGCAAAAATTGTTCTGTGAAAGACTTTTTTTTTTTATTATACCTGCTATAGATATTTCTCCTAAGAATTAGGATTTAGTTTAAAACACAAAGTAAAAATGAACTGACATTTTGTTTTGTAATGAAAGCCTCAACAGATTTAAAGCAGTTAATAAATTATTGTAGAATAGAATCGTAAATTTGATACCTGTTAAGGTGTCAGCGCTTCTAATTATTTTATCAAACTTTAGAGAAATTCTGCGCGAGATTTTAAACTCTTGGGAAACGCAAATTTATCCGTCACTGAATGATTTTCTCAAATGTCAGAGGAAACAAAATAGACAGCTTTTTGACATTTTTTAGATGATGGCAGCGGTAATAAGGAGATTTTAGCTTTTTTTTTTTTTTCAACCAAGGATAGATTTACTTTTCTGTGGTTTGGAATAAAAAATAAAAAAAAAAAATGAAAGAATGTTTGAAGGATTTTTCAATTCTAGGGGAATATTGAAACTTCAGGAACAGCTTGAGCATCGCAAAGAATTGCAAAAATGTAGCAATCATTCATGACAACAACTTTATTTTTGCAGAAATAGTTTTAGAATGTCATTATTTGCAAAGCTTCTTACAGCGAAGACTGAAATTATATATCTATAGACGTAAAGAGGATGCGGTGCAGAATAATGAAAATACTAGTATCTTAAATATTTACGCTTAAAGTAATGTTTACATTTAAAATATATACATAGAAAATTAAAAGAATTTCTGAATACGAAAGTTGTACGAGAACGTTCGAATAAATATTCCTCCTTAATACTGCAACTTCAAAAGACTTCAATAATCAATACCATTGCGAAATGATGATTTTCATAATTAAAATTTATAAAAGATGAGTTGAGAAATCGCACGTACTGACCGAGTTTAAATTATCTCAGTCTGGTGAGCATTAAACATAATATTTTTACTACCTTGTGCGGAGTAAAGAAAGAGTTGTAACCGCGAAATATTTCGGGTGTCGTAGTTGAACGAAAATATCGATTTTGACCGCTCTCAAATCCATTTGAAAGATGTTTTTGAGTGATATCTGTAGGTAAGGACAGAATAAAGGACTCTTTTCCCCCAAACGAATTGTAAAATGGATTTCAAATGGATTTAGTAGAAATTTTCATCGTGACGTCTGTACGTATCTCGCATAACTCAAAACGAATAGCTTCCGAACGTCGAAATTTAGTTTACGGTACTATTATAGCATCTAGTTGTGCACCTCCCTTTTTAGTTGCAATCGGCTGCGCCAAATATATTTACAGATATACCCACTCTGTTGCTCGGCTCGGTGAGATTAGTATTTTTATTCCTATCTGTTCGTAAATTGTGCATTTTTTGCCTTAAAAGTGATTGAATTATGTTGTTCTTAAGTTCCGGTTAAGGTGTTTATGCCTTTAGTTAGTGTGCATGCAATAGTTGTAGAATTATCAACAATTTAATAGTCGTTAAAGTGTTACTAAGCCTAACGAAGTCTGTATTTGTTTACATTTGAAACTCTTAGTAGAATTATGAATTAAGTCAGTTTCCGCACCAACTTCAGTGTCTTTTTTCCGAGTGTTTTTTCTACTTCCAAATAACCTAATGTCTCTACAACTATGTTTAGTGTTATACGTTTTTCTGTATTTTATAATTTTTTACAGTTTTCTTTTAAGCATTATTACATTCGGCTGCATTTAATATTCAAATACACAACGCCTTAACTCATAGATATGAGTTTAACATGAAAGCATGCCATATTTGAACAAGGCATAGTTAAAATAAATCCATTACGCAACGAATGAAGGTGTTTTTAATTTTTATGTATTTTTGCCTTGACGCGAAGTGAGAACTGAATTCAATAACTGAAAAATAATCTCTAATGGAATTCAAAGAAATAAGATTGAATAAATGCAGCAAAAATGCGTATAATTCAATAAACCATACAAAGAAATCATGCGGTGTCCATATCAGACTTTTTAGATACTAAATTCGTAGATAATAATATAGTGACGTAATTCACAGTTTTGTCTCCTGTATATGTAAAAAATGTCCCCTTTAAAGCTTAATTTAATAACTATAGAATATTAGTTTCGGGTGGCATTGAAGGAAGCTGATTTTAATTCTTGTGCAGTTAACATTTGTCTTTTATTATTATCTTTATAGTAGTGTTACGGATTTGGTATTTGGATAGCTAATGTTAGTTGAATTATAAATAAAATTGTTTTATTCCCGTGCAGTGCAGCGCGTGACGAATATTAAAAGAAAGCTAAGCCGGAAGATTAGAAATACAAGAGCGCGTGCATTTAACATTTAATAAATAAATATCTCTTTTTGATTTCTTGAAAGTTCCAGAAAATTCTCGCGCGCGATTTAAAATCTTATAAATAGGAAGAAAACCTCTCAGTTCGGTGATTTTAGTTAGTTTGTGTTGTTTTTTAAGTTTGTTAGAAAACTGCTCTTGTGATTGTAGCGAATCGCGAATTAGCTTTCTTTAGCTGTTTTGAATTAACTTCTGTGAACGGTTGAGTAGCTAAAAGAAGCTGTGTGAGATATTGTAAACTGAAGGAATATCTGAGGAATTTAAGCATTTGTGATAATATAAATTTTTTGTCATTTTTCATCGGACTTGTTCATTCATTTCGTAACGAACCCTTTCGCACGTAACAATTTTTGTTGTCAGAAGTGGGATTTGAATGCCAATAACAAGAGCGATGGAAGAACAATTGAGGCAGCTCATCAGTGCTTTTGCTGCGTTCCAAAAAAAGATGTCAAGCATCATTTAAGGAAGAAATGAAAGAGGGACAGGAAGAAATGAAAGCAGAGATGGAATCTGGTCAGGAAAAGATTGAAGAATCTGTTAAAAACGATACGAAAGCTGTTAAAGAAGAGCTTATTTGCATAATAGAAAACAAATTTGATTTTATAGAAGGCGGAATAGACGCCGTTGAAAATAAAGTTGGAGAAATTCAAGAGAGAGTTTCTGCTGTGGAGCAACAAATCGAAAGAAGAGTTTCGGCCGTTCAACGTCGAATCGAACAACAAATTGATGACAGGGTTTTTGCTGCCGTCGCCAAAGATGTTCAAAGCCTAAAGAAATACATAGCGAATAGCGACTGCAGGAAACAATTCTGAAGATTTTAAATTTCTATCTATGCCTACTCGTCCCTTTCTGAAGCTATCTACATATGATGGGAAGACCTCCTGGCAAGTATATAAGACGCAATTTTCTATAGTGGCGGAAGCGAATGGATGGGATTCCCAAGCTAAGGCCTGTCATCTTGCCGCTTTTTGAGAGCAGACGCAGCGGATATCCTGCAGATTCTTCCCGAAAACCAGAGATTAGACTTTGAAGCTCTATCCGGCGCATTAGAGCTGCGCTTTGAAGAGAAGTGTTTAAAAGACTACAGCAGGCTTCAGTTAAAATCCCGCCAACAGAAAGCCACGGAAACACTCCAGGAGCTCGCCAAGGGTGTAGAAAGGCTGTGCCACCTCACCTTTTCGGAGTGCCCGAGAG